AGTCCATATTCCAACACCTCAGCCTCAACCCTGTCCACGTTCCCAACTGGCTTGCCCTGTTAGCTTTCTTTGGTGCGTCACAAGCAGAGCCTCACTTGGGCCAGTTGGCTCTCTGCTTCAGGCTTGTTATCATTACACTATCAACCAGGCTCCACACCACTGAAGGAAATCACAGCACTGAGCACATAGGTGCCACTATAAAGTTATAGTCACCAGTGAAAGCTCTGACGAGCAACCTGAGTAGGCTTCCCTAGTAAGCTCTATCTCTGTTTCTCTACAAAATTATTTTAAACTTTCTTCACTCTCCTCAAGCTTATGACCCTGTCATATTTCTCCTTACTATGAGTAGACGACCTCACCTCTTTCTACTAAGCAGAACCCAATACTACATCTCCCATTACAGAAGGAAGAGAAGGGACACAATCTCAGTGTTAACAGGTCAAGTTACAGGCACAAATGAGGACCATTATAATTCTACTTTATTTTGGATTCAAGAGGCATATTCCATTTGCTGTGAAGTCCATAGGACAGTGAAGATTTAGAAGATAATTTCTCTACCAAATTAATTTAATCTCCCAGCTCCTCTAAGAGCATAGTACATCAAGTCTAGACATCCAGGACTCCCACATGGTTCAGCTTCCCCACCCCCATCATCTTTGTTGACCCCTCTGTTCTCCACCACCCACCCAGAGTAATGCCTTTCTCGGGTTTGGCCCCTGACTAATTTACCAGTCACTCTGTTCTGTCTAGTTTCACTGCTACATGAAACTGGATCTTCAGATCTCAAGGGTGGGGTGAAGGAAAACGAGAAAAGTCTCCTCAAGGACGGACAAAGGACAACATGGCTTAAGGACAATAGACCTTCCACCGTGCTAACCTTGGCCTTCTGTCTTTCTCAGATGTGTTGCAGTGCTGGAAGACTATCTGCCTCTACTCCATCTTGAGTTACATTACCAAAGACCCATTCTATTTTCCTAGCCTCCAAATGTGCTAGATCTCAGAAAGGGGAATAGAGTGAAAAAAAAAAAGAAAAGAAAAAGTACCCTTCCCCACAAGAATATGAAAGTCACTATACAAGAATACCCAATTTTATGCTACCATCCTAATGTCTTACCTGGAGCTGTTCCAATTCTTTTTAAATCTATCCTCTTCTCCTGTTTCTGTTGCATGATGAGGTATTTTCCTACTCTCAGAATCAATCCCTTCTAGATACCACAGCCTTCTACCTTCTCAAGGTCCTCAGTCCATCAACGATCCCTCCCTCTCCTGTAGATTGAATTTCTCTCTCTGCTGGCTTTTTCTCAGCAATATTGGAAGGTGCTGCACAATCTCATCACTGTCATTTTACAGCCGTATCTCTTCACTCTCTCCCTTGCTCGTGAACCTTCTGCTGCTCCTCCAAAGTATACACTCTTTTCTCTCTCCAGACATTCATATATAGTATTCTCTCTTCCTGAAATGTCCTTTTTTCCTTGTTCTCCTCTCTCTGCTTCAACAAACTTCTACTAATTGGTCAAGTGCCAGGTTCAAGGAACTCTGGGGTTAGGATAAACGTTCTCACAGTGTTGTACACTTCCTGTTTTAAATACACAGCACACTGATGGTCCTTCCTGTCTTCACTGCTGGACTGCACACGCCATGAGGCCAAACCACATCTTGTCAGTCTCATCTAGCCTAGATTCTGCCATATAGCAGCACTTAATAAATGAGGAAACAAATGACCGAGTTTTTTTCCACCTTAAAAGCAACATGTTTACACCTCCTCGTGTTCCTCTTTGCTCCTTTCATAGTCACAGTTGAAAAAAAATTGCTCTCCTCCTCACCTAACAAGCCAGCTCTCCCCCAGCTGAATTGTCAATAACCTTGTGCTAAATCCAGCAGACAGACATTCCTGTCTCCTAGTGCCTGTGTTCTGTCTCCCTTTGTAATTTCTGTCCCCCTAAGTTATGGAGATCCTCAGAGTTCTACTCACTCTTCCTGGGTGATTTCAAATGCTCCCGTGGTTTCAGTTTTTTCAACATGCTGATCACTCCCAAATTTGAATCCTGAGGCTGTGTCAGGAGTCCCCAAGACAACCTCATCACTCAAAGATTCCCTAGAACTAACAGGACTCAGCATGTAGTTGTACTCCTGGCTGCGATTATTACAGAGATGTAGTAAGGATACACGACTGAATCATAAGGAACCAAGACAGATAGAATTCAGAAGAATCCATATGAGGCTTCTGTATGCTCTCTCATTTCCATAAGGGGTCACACACTCTTCCTCCAGAAACATGTATGTGATGTTTCTGACCAGAGAAGCCCCTGAGAGACTCAGTGTCCAAAGTTTTAATTAGAGACGGGTCATGTAGGCACCCTCTCTCTTGCCCCTGAGAGACTCAGTGTCCAAAGTTTTAATTAGGCACCCTCTCTCTAGCATATACCAAAATTCCAGACTCCCAGAAGGAAAGCAGGTGTTCAGAATAAATTATACTGTCTGCACAAACAGTCTAGCTACAGAGAACAAGACTTATCAGTTAACCCTTGACTGGGGACACTCCGAGAGCCAGTTTTCCAGACATCAGCAAGGGCTAACCGTGCACTCAGGACTTTCTAAAGACAGTGGCAAACCTACTGTGTTTACTTTTTTCTGCACAGGCTGGATCTGTTTCCTGAGCTACAATCCCATATGTTTCCAACATGCCATCAGACTCAGTGTCCTCATACTCACTCTCTTCCTCCCAGCTATTGTACCTATGATCTATCTTCTTTTCCCCCTTCCTCCTCACCCATCCTATTCACTGGCCCTCAAATGCACCCACTTCTTTCTATTCCTACTGCTGCTATTTCTAAAATTTATATCTAAAATTTATATCTAAATTTCTAAAATTTATATCTAATCTTGTCTCAAATGCACCCACTTCTTTCTATTCCTACTGCTGCTCAGGATCACCTCAATCCAACATAACTAAATCAGCCTTCAGAACAAGGCTCTGCCCGTCTACTTGACATCCCTCCAATCTGATTCTCTTATTGTTCAGTTATCTTTTAAACATGAAAATTGGATCATTTCATTTCTCCATTTAAACTCTTTAACAACTTCCCAATGCACTAAGAACATAAATCAAAACATCTTAACAAGACCTACAAGCTCCTGAGTAACCATCCTCTAATAGCTCCCACTCTTATTTTACATCACTCTCTTCCTCTGGTGACATGAATGTCTTGTCAGTTTCTCACTAAGCCCTTTCTCATCCCAGGGCTTTGCACATGCCCTTCCCAAGCCTGGGATGCTCTCTCCTGCTCATGCCTCAATCCCCTGGACCCATCCTTGCGGTCTCAGGTTGAAGGTCATGTCCTCAGAAGTCCTCCCCCATCTTCCCGAGTCTAAATGAGGCCCCCTTACCCTCTTTCATAGTTAGTAAATATATACATTTTGTTTGGATTGTTCATTTCATGCCTCTCCTCCTCTCCACTAGACTGTAAGCACATGAGGGCAAAGACTCTGTTCATCACTGGATATCTGGAATCAAGCTAGTGCTGGTGTCATGTTGTATGCTGTTGCCATCAGCTCAGGCTGCTGTAGCAAAGTACCATACCCTGGGTGACTTAAACAACAGAAATTTGTTTCTCACAGTTCTGGAGGCTGAAAGTCTGACACCGGGGTTCCTAGTGAGGGCTCACTTCCCGGATTGTATCAGCTGCCTTCTAACTGTGCCCTCACATGGTCTTCCTTGGTACATGCACAGGGAGAGAGAGAGCACACACTCTGGAGTCCCTACTTATATGAACACTAACTCATCATGAGAGTCTCACCCTCATGACCTCATATTAACCTACTTACGTCTTAAAGAAAATAATAATAAAATAAAATAAATCTACTTACCTCCTAAAGGCCCATTTCCAAATACCACCATACTGGAGGTTAGAGCTTTAAGACATGAATGGGTATGGCAGCAGGAGTGAGGCACAAACATTCAATCCATAGCATGAACTCTCAGTGTTCAGGAAACAAATGAGTGAATTGCTAACAAAGTGGTATTTCTAAAATTTATATCTAATCTTGTCCTCCTTTCCTCAAAGTTCCTCCATAATTCCCACTGCCTGTAGGATACTTCCTAAAGTTCTTAGCATAGCATCTGAGCCCTTGGTAACCCAGCCCTGCCTCTCCATCCAGTGCCTCTCTCTCAGTGTCTTGCTCAAGCTCCCTTACAACACAAGTCACTGCAGCAAGGTAGTGCATCTGAGGATGCCTAGAGAATGGATGCAGCAAAACAGCCAGAAACCTGTGCTCCTAGAAGCTGGGCTCCTGCTGGAGAGAAAACACATCTGTGGGAGGAAAGCCACACAAATGAGCTTGACCTGAGACCCTCCTTAGAATGGATAGGTTGAGATAAAAACAGTGTCTATCACTCAGCACTGAAAGTCACTAGTAACACAGCCTCTTGTTGCCATTGCTCCTACCTGCTGGGCAGAGCAGAGGTAGTCCCACCACACCAACACCACCCCCACCACATCTTGAGTGAACTAGCACAGCCTTGTCATAACTATGCACATGTCCTTCCCAAGTTCTGTGATTAATAGGTAACACGGCATATAGCAGACCCACAATAGATAGACATTCTTTTCCTCTCTTCCTGTTTCGCATCTTGCAAGCCCATCCTCTGACTTCCACATAAAACATAAAACAAGAAGCTTCAAGACCAAAGCTTCCTGCCCTGGCACTTCTCCCATCACACTTTCTCCTGCTCC